ATTGATTTCAATAGTCCTTGACCGTAGCATAGCATTTATTTATCAATTGACCAAAACCATTTTTGCTTCTAAAATCCTTCAGAAAATTTTTCCAAAATCAAATTCAAGCATGTACAAAGAAGAATAGACATGTAGTAAGAGAATTTGTGTACAGAGACTAGAGATGGGAATGAATGATGCAGAGAGAAGAGAGAAGAAAAACAAAAGTGTAGAACTAGTACAAGTAGTAAATAGTTGACAAGGACAGAAGCCATGCCAGCCAGCTAAAAGCCTCGACCTACTACACCATAGCTATAGAGGGTGTAGGGGCGTACGTACGCCGGCCATCTTCGCCATTCACATTCAACGCATTACCTGCAACTGCACCATTCTCACAGGAATGTCAAAATTAAAATTATATGTCCATCATTACGCTATCATAAGCATTTTCTTGGTTTACGATGACCTCTCCACGTGTCATCATCCTTGTTGCTTGATGTCGACATCTGAGAAGCCTGGACCCCGTCGGATCCATCCAAAATATTGAGAGAAAGTGACGCAAGCTAGAGAGCTGCCTCCTGCCTGCATGTGTTTCTTTTAAAAATAAAAAAAAAAATCTCTCAGGCCTTGTTTTCACCCCACACAAGTTAAAAAGGAGAAAAAGAAAAACTGTGTTGATTTTGCAGTGATTGAGTAGCTCGAGAACTTTTGCATGAAAAAGGTGTAGAGGGGATGGGGATGGTGGGGGCGCCTATGTTTATGTGACAGTATACTCTGTAACAGGGGGGATAAATGGTACATATATTCATTCATGCAATTAAAAACCTAGCTTGTTCTCTTCTTTTTTCGCTGCTTTTGTTGCTGCGGTAGATACATCAGACTTACTGCCTAATTATAACTCTACTAGTAAAAGGCTTTTCATCTCTTTCCTTTACCTCTTTTCTCTGTCCCCCACCGTTTTTTTAATTATTATTTCATTATCTCTTGTGAATCTACATCATTTGACTTTTCTTGTGCTTTGATTAGGCTTTTCCAACCTAGTTGGTCTCCTATATTATTATCACTAATATTATTATTATTATTTTATTATTATTATAAAAGACTCAATTCGTTGACCCAATTCGTGAAAAATTAATGTCCGTAGGAAGATTATCACTGCTCAAAATTGTTAATCTCGACACAGAATTAAGGTCACTTTTTAATCAACTTGAAAAAGTGCATTTAGTTAATTAATGGGTTTTTTTAACTTGCATTTTTAAAGAATTTTTTTAAATATATTATTTGTTATTGAAATTAAAAGTTGTCTAATTAATCTATATGATATTAATAATAAAATTAATATGAAATTTTTTAACTTGTACCATAA